GTTCAAATACTTCTGTTCCTCACTGTATACAGGTGGCCCAGATCTGATCTGACATCTGGTTTGGTTCACACTGCTGTGGACACATCAGGACTCAGGCACTTCAGCTGGGACGAGGACAGAGACTGGAAACGTACATAAGAGAGTGTCTGAAAGCACCTTCGACTCCTCCTGGTAGTGTTCAGTTATCTTCTGCACCTCTGCCACCCTGTCCTCCCTCTCTCTCTCCCTCTCCTTCTGCAGCTCAGCCTGCAGAACGCGGCTTTGTGTCGCCCAATCAGAGCTCTCCTGGCGAAGGCGAGTCACCTCCTCTTCCAGTTTGACCGTTACCTGCCGAGACTCCTGCAGAGAAGAGAACAATCATCCTAGAGTGAAGAATCATCCTAAAGATGTTAACCTCCCAGTTAAGTCTGGGCTGCGTTTACCTCCATCTGCCTGCTCTGATCTGAGGTCAGCTGTCGCAGAGCCTGGTTCTCCTCCTGCAGCCTCTCAGATGCAAGCATCAGATCCCGGACCTGTCGGAGAGAGAACACCAGCACTGAAGCTGGTCTGGAGACACAGTATGACAGTCTGTCCTGTCATCTGCCACCCAGCTGTAGAGGCCATGGTTTAGAAACCATGACTGTCCTTTAAGGAGGAAGGGGTTAAAAAGAAATCCAGGACAAAGCCCAACAGGAGCGGAGACAGTACCTGCTTCTCAGTCTCTCCCAGTCTGTGCTGGTAGCTGTCGAGTGTTGTCTTCAGCAGCTGCAGCACTTCAGTGGAAGGACTCCGACTCCCATCATGCTTTGCTGGAGGACTACAGTCTGCAGACACACACACAGTCTAGCTCCTGGAACACTGAGTACTTTGCAGCAGGTGTGTGTTGAGAGTTTACCTGTGTTCCTGTGCTGCTGGACCATTTCTCTGATCTGCTCCAGACAGTTCCCAAAGGCCTCCTCTCTGTCGCGCTGCCTCGTAGCTGCCTAAACACAGAAGAAGAAAGACAGGTCAAAGGGTCGGTTCACTCATATCACATAAAGACATGTGTGCGCTACCTGCTGGAGCAGTGAGAGTGTGTCAGCGTGCCGTCTCTTTTCTTCCTCCAGCCTCCCCGACAGGTCAGAGGTCGTGATCCTCTCCGTTTCCAAGGCGACATCTTGTTCAGATTTATACTGTTTGTACTCGGCTTGTAACCTGCACATGTGCGCACACACACACACACACACACACACACACACACACATTTAAGCATTACAAAAAAATAAGATGCAAAATGACAACAGCCAATTTCTCATCTCATTGTAATATCAAAAATAAACCAATATGCAGCGGCGTCGTCGCTACAGTGGACGTAACAGTAAACAACTCATTTAATTTGATTTAACAAAACAGACTCGTTAGTTTCCATAAATATTAGACCTGGGTGAAAACAAAGCACAACTTTAATGAGGCTGATACATCAGTAACAAAATATAAGCTGGACTTCTTTTAATAACATCATTTCTGTCATTCATCCCTTTTACTGTAAAGCACTTCCTAGTATTCGTTTTCAAAAGTGCTACATAAATAAATAAAGATCATTATTACTGTTTTTAAATGAAGCACTGAGCCTCGTCAGAAAAGCTGCATTGTGACAGTTTATTTCCATCTTTCTTCCAAACACACTGATCAGTTTCTGGTCACTGGCAAACATCTGATGTATTGATCTCCATCAAGAACGGCACAGAAGTGACACCTTGAACGACGAGGCTGCTGATTTTCTGTATTTGTCATCAAACAAATGAAAAGACCCAAACCATCAACGTCTCCTGTTAACAAGCATCTGGAGCTAAAACCTGAATTCGTTTCTTTTTCTACAAATACAGAAAATCACCAGCTTTATCCTTCAGGCTGCCATCACGGCACTCCTGTCCTTGTGACCTCACCGCTCCAGGGCGCGCTCAGTGCCGTCGCCCCTGTCCCTCTCCAGGCCATAAGCTCTCTCCACCTCTCTGAACTTGGCTCTCAGCAGCTCCAGGCTACACTGCGCCTCCTGCTGGCCGGTTCGCTCCACTGCCACCGCCGCCTCCAGGTCCTGCACCCGCCGCTGACAGGTCACATGATCACTGTTTACTGTTCACTCTCATACAGAGCCAAGTTACTGCTAAAGCTAACATTTCCTACTCCTGCTGTTTCAAATTAAAAGCCTTTTATTGTGAAGAGGAAGTAGGAAGCACACACTGCGACTGTTCTTCCAACCTGAGTATATTTTTGTATATGTCTGTATTTTCTGGCAGTGACTCGGTGTCATGTGTTTGTGTAAGACTTACCTGGATGAGCTCAGAGTTGAACCTGGACTCCAGGTGAGCTGCTTGCACCGCCTCCATGCTCGACTCCAGAGACTTCACCCTCTGATCCGACAGCTGAGGAGAAAGGAAACAGATCGGCTGTTTGTTCACCCTTCCTTCCACCTCCATCTCTACTCTCCCTCCATCTCCTCACCTCCTTCTCTCTCGTGCTCCTTTCCATTCTCTCCATCAGGTATTTCAGTTCGTCAGCCTGTCGCCTCTTCACCTCGGCCTCCTTCTCCTTCTCCCTCTGCACCTCCGCTATCCTCCTCTCCGACTCCTCCAGAGCCTTCTCATGATCCTGGAACAGAGGCAGATACAAAGAGTAGCTGCATTAAGACTTTCTTTAATTCCTGTTCATGCTGAATCCTGCTTTTGACTTAGGGTTAGATTTTGTTTGTTGAAGGTGCAGAGCACAGGTGCAAAGGTCCAGCGATGTGGACAGACGCATTAATCAAATAACCAGCGACACAGAGCAGAGACATCACTGTTAGACTGTATTTTGACACTGTCAGCCGTCCACATTCATACGCTTTGTACACCAAGCGCCCGGCGACGCAGCAGCTGGTACCTGGGAGTTCCCACTGACACAGGAGCGCTGGATCCATTGCACAGCGACAAACAGACTGGCTCTGAGCAGCTGAAACGGTTAAAAACAGTACAACGAAGGCCTAGTGTTCACTGTGTGTGAGAGACCTGCAGTAGTCGGTGCAGTCGCTGGTTCTCGCAGTTGAAGCTCTGAATCATTCGGTCACGCTCCTCAACCTCCTGCTGCAAAGCATGCTGGTCCTCCTCTCTGGCCCGCCGGGTGATGTCCAGAGCTCTCTGCAGCTCCTGCACCACCTGCTGGAGCTCTGCTGCTCGCTCTGACACACACACACACACACACACACACTTCTGAGTACTGGTGAAACCACTGCAGGTCCTGTTGGGTGCATTTGATTTGTGTACCTGTGAGTGCCTGTTTGTCTGCGCTGAGCTCAACAGCTTGGTCGGCATCTCTCTGACTCACAGTCAGCTGGTATTGAAGCTCCGTCCTCTGGGCTTCACCTCGCTCCACCGAGGACCTCAGGCGGGTCAGCTCCGCCTGCAGCCTGCACAGCTGAACACACACACAGTCTAAACACTAAAGGAAACCGTCTGATTCCTAAAGACAAGAGAAGACGTTATTGACCCCTGCAGGGAAATGATGCAGCAGAAGAAGGAAACAGCATCAAACCGGTGGAGTTTCCTTTTACTGGCCTAAAACCAGTTGAACAGTGCTGGACGTTCATTCTCACCTCCTGGTTGTGGCTGGACGTCAGCTCCAGTTTGTCTTTCTCCAGCTGATTGACTCTCCACCTCAGACTCTCTGAGTCCTTGCTCCCATCACCTCCTTCTGATGCCGCTCTCCTCCCTCTCCCATCTGACCTCCACCCTCCATCTCCTCTGCTTCTTCCTCTCCCCTTCTCCTCTTCATCTTTTCCCACCTTTCTTCCTCCATTTCCTGCCTGCTTCTCTTTCTGCCACATGGGGGCAGTAATCTCTTTCAACCTGAAGAAAACATGACAACTCCAGTAAGGACTCACACTACAAGAGACAAACCCACCACAGAGAGATGCAAAGCGACTACAAGCTACGCACAGGGCGTGGGGGGTGTATTTATGTCTGTGGTTGTACTGATGCTGCTTCAAAAACATGTCAGCGTCAGCAGATACTAGATAAAAACCATATTTTAGAGGAGCATCACTGCAGTCCTTCACAGTACATCAGCAGCTGTCTTTATTGTGCACCATAAAATGTGCTCAACTATAAAAAACGGGATAGTGTGATGCTTACTCAGCATCACACTCATCATGTCAGGATGGGGCAACAGTGGCAGTTTTACCCCTTTAGTAACAGTTGGTTACACCAGGTCATGAACAGGCCTACCAGGCTCAGGAGGGCCTGGTACCAGAGAGTCTGCATGAAGTGACAACAGTTCTTGTTGGAAAGTCAAACAGTTAGAAAGAGACACGAAACGAGTGAAAGACTCAAAACAGTCACAAAGAGATGCAACCTGTTTAAAAAGAGGCACTGTACAGCTGCAAAGGGATGCAAAGTAGGTAGCACGACACAAAATGACTACAAGGGCATGTGAAACAAGGTCAGATAAAAAAATACAAAGACTACAAAGAGGCACAGCGACTGAAAAACTAAATCAAATAAACTAACTAAATAAAAAATATAAACTACTAGAAAACAAGCCATCAGTTCCAAAGAACGACCTACCTACTTTAAACCCTACATCCTCGGTTCCCACCTTGCTAGTCCCTCCTCGGAGCTCCTGGCGCAGGTGACCGCCTCTCTCGGCAGTGCACCCCGCGTCTCTGCGTGGCCGTGCGGGCCCTCACTTCGCCCTCCTCGGCCAGGCTGTGTCCTCCGCTCCGCTCGTTCCGCCTGCATGTCCCTGATGTTAAACCCCCCGTGGATGTTTTTCTGATGTCCACTACTACACACGGACCCTGTTCATTGGCTAATTAAGGAGTTAACACACATTTATATGTTTTTAGCCACTTAACGTGAAGAGTGTGTGAACATTTTAGCCGACTCCAGGAAACAGACAGTTTACTAATAGTTTTATTTCTGTTTTAACTGAGTGTGACCAGCAGAAGCCCCGGAGGCCGTGTGAAGGCCGTGCGGGTGCCCGGGGGAGGACGGTTGCTTGGCTGCAGGTGTCACCTGCCTGGAGACGCGCTCAAACGAAAGCGATCTCCATTTACAAACCTACCAAGGACACACTCGTCATAATACATTCGAGTTAAAAACCTCTGGCAACATCTGGTTTTACTATTTACTAAGCATCTGCATCAGCTTTTCAGTAAGAAGCGACTGTTTCAACAGTTTCAATTTAAAATCGACCATCCTCTGTAAACAAAGCGGCGTTTTAACAACTGTCAGCAACTTCCAGCTGAGATTTTACCAACATCAGGTCATTACCAACATCGGCCTGGCGAATCTTCTGTATGCCGAATCCACCAGACGTTGGTACAGATTCGTTAAAAGCCTTGGCCTGTCTACGTTTTGTCTTAGTCAACACACAGGATCAAACTCCTGCATTTCGTGAATGAAGTTCCGTTCCTATACGTGTACAACCCGGACAAAGGCACGTCCACCGTCAAAAGGTTAGCTCCAAACCACTTTTCACTCATTTGAGACGATCTACACTGCACATGTAAAATACAACATTCATTTAAAAACTCTGAAAGGTTTAAAATAAACCTTTTGAAATACTTACTTAAACATTTACCCAGTACCGTTTGAATCTGACGCCATCTTTAGCGTCTACACGTCACTTCCGCAGGATCTCGGGATGTTTCTTCTTCTTCTTCTGTCATCCGAGGCTGTGTAGACGCACCCAGACGTTCTACTGCCCCCCACAGATAACTAGTACACACTAGTCCTAGTGTAACGTCCGTTCATATCCCTGTGTACTTTTAAAAAATGGAATAAAGGCATTTGCAGTCACTTGGTGGCGCTCAGGTTGGCAAAGCAACTGTAGCCGAGTATTTACGTGGGCTCAACTAGACATGTGTATAAAATAATAAAACGACAAAGCTTCAGGTCTGAACTTCTCCGTCACTTTATTTTGCACTCTTCACTCCAAAACTGACACTCCCATCTCTCTCTTCCCATGTCCCCTTTCTACCCAAGTATGGCAAGCCCCAAAGGACAAAAGGACATAAGGTATACTACACACATAAACAGAGCACCAGCACATTCACACCGGGGAGACATAACACTAAACAGTCTGTTACATAAGTTTCTTTAAGTATGTGAATGTGGCGTTTTATGGATTTTTGATGACTGATTGGTTATTTGGGGTTTACAGGTTGTTTGATTTTGTTTGTGTGTGAATCCACAGCCCACTGCCGTATTTTGTCACCCCTTATTTTCGCTAACCCGTATTTTGTCATTTTGTGTAAATAAACTGTGACCTGCTGGACATCAACGTTACAAGGACCCCAGTTATTGTGTCCCATGTGACAACA